CGTCAGCCCCCAAAAGCCCCCCACCCCCTCCGCGGCCTCGCAACCCACCTCCACCACAAGCCCCAAATCCAGGCCTCACTCCCAAGGCCCAACCCAATAAAGAATATGAACAAGGTATTTTTTTGTTTTTTAAACAACTTTTAATCTTTGTGCTTGTATGTTATAGATTTCCTTTATTTTATTTTATTTTTGTTAATGGGCAAGAAATTCGAACTTGAAACCTCTTCAAACATTAGAAAGAAAAGTTTCACAAAACTAACACTACAATGTTTGCGCACGAAAAGTATACTCATCACTTGTGCACATACATGCACTTCAATTTATGTTGCTCGCAACATAACCTTTTTGCTTGCCAAACTTTGTCTTGAATCCAGAGGTTAGATGTGTTGAAGCTTTGACTTTGTGGCGCAACAATTCTTCTGATATAAACAATGAGCTATATAAAGGATACCCAAAGGGGAACCCAGAGAGGAAAGTTAATGAAATACTTGCAGGTTATCCCCACTACTTGACTTTGATATGATGAATACATACAGTATCATCATGTACTAGCTATTGACGGTGCATTTTCTTGCAGCCTATGATTTCTTAAACTCAAATGAGAACAGTTTTAATGCAATCCTTTGGTACAATTCAAGCTTGAGGAGGAGTGTTGGTTCTGATCTGCAGCGGATTGGGCGCTCAGTGAATCTGGTAGACAAACATACACATAATTAACTTGTTAATTTACTTGGTGATATCTTAAAACAAGAAAAGTGAATGTTGCTAATTGATCAGGCAGGGATGAGTTTTAATACATTCATTTGTTTTATTTGCTGCCAGGCATCCAATGCCTACCTTCAGTTTTTGCAAGGCCCTGGTACCAAAATGCTGTTTGAGTTTGTCAAAGAAATGCCTAAGCCTGTAACCAACGTAGTAAGCATACCGGATCTTTCCTCTCTACTTGGTCCACTCTTCTTTACATGGATCATTTTACTGCTGTTCCCGGTAAGTAAGATTGATTATGTTCATCCATATTCATTACATGGATTTTTGCTAATTAACTTAGCTTTCTTAATTTCCCAACTTTTTAATGGTGTATGCAGGTTGTTTTGAAGTCACTGGTTTACGAGAAACAACAAAAACTGAGAATCATGATGAAAATGCATGGCCTTGGTGATGGACCGTATTGGATGATCTCCTATGCCTATTTTCTTGCAGTTTCTTTGATCTACATGCTGCTGTTTATGGCAGTTGGCTCCATCATAGGTATATTTGTATCAATCTAACTACTTGCCAACTGTTTCAGACTGGTTTCACTCTGAGTTGCTTTAATGAATTCAACTGTGTTTCCTTCCATCCTTGCAGGGTTAAAATTCTTCACAATCAATGACTACAGCATCCAGTTGGTTTTTTACTTCATCTATATGAACTTGCAAATAGCAGCGGCTTTTCTAGTAGCTTCAATGTTTTCAAACGTTAAGGCTTGTACAGGTTCGATTTCTTTTGGTTTGAAATTATTGATCAGGGATTTACATTTTAAGTTTTATCTCATGAGATGATTCAACTGACATGGTTGATTTTATGGTAACAGCTATAGGTTACATTCTGGTCTTTGGAACTGGGCTTTTGGCAGAAAATCTTTTTCGAAGCTTCATCGAAGATGCATCAGTCTCTAGTAAGTGGAAATTTTTATGAAAATGAAGCATTTGGAATTTAATTTTCTTTTTGTTTATACTTTTCAGAAACTCAACTCTGTATTGGTGTTCTTGTACGTAGGACGCGGGATCATTCTTTTACAGTTGTATCCTGGCTTCTCTCTGTATCGTGGATTATACGAGCTAGCACAATACCCCTTGCAAGAAAAAAGGGTTGGGATGGGATGGGGCGATTTGAATGATAACCAGAATGGGATGAGAGAGGTCTTCATTATCATGGTTATTGAGTGGTTTGTGGTGCTTTTTGTTGCATATTGCATTGACCAAGTTGTATCATCTGGAAGTGGAAAAAGTCCTTTATTTTTCTTGCAAAGGATTAGGAAGAAGAAACTTACATCTCTAAGGAGGCCTAGTTTGCAAAGGCAGGGATCTAAAGTTTCCATTCAGATGGAGAAATCTGATGTTAGTCACGAGGTAACTTTTCTTCTCTCGCTCTAGCTTATATACTCATTAGTTTTTATCACAGGTATAAATTAGTTCTGCTTCCACTTCTTCCTAATTTCCAGATCGAGATGGTTGAGAGGTTGGTATTGGAACAAAATACAAGTCATGCGATCGTTTGTGACAACCTCAAAAAGGTGTATCCGGGAAGAGATGGAAACCCTGAGAAATTTGCAGTGAAAGGGTTGTCTCTTGCTTTGCCTCCAGGGGAGTGCTTTGGTATGCTTGGCCCCAATGGTGCAGGGAAGACCTCTTTTATTAGTATGGTGAGCAGAGCACACTCTACTTCTTTAGAATATATAATTATCAAACATATATACTAATGGCTAGTTAATGCTTAACCAATTGCAACCTCTTTCCACAGATGACTGGTCTCACAAAACCAACCTCTGGCACAGCATATGTTCATGGTATGGACATTCGGACGCAAATGAACAATATATATACCAGCATGGGATTTTGTCCACAGCATGAGTAAGCTAAATCAATTTTAAGCAAAATTTCTTTTTCTTGGTTGTTTCTTTAAATATTTAAATGAATCTTATGAGTTTCTTGCTTACTGGATATTATTTAGCCTACTGTGGGAAACACTGACTGGAAGGGAGCATCTACTATTTTATGGCAGACTTAAGAACCTCAAAGGTCGTGCCTTAATGCAAGTAAGTAAATTGAAATTTTACTATTTTTGACATTGGGATTGTTATTGAAAACTTGTAAGCATTCAAGATGGGTTGATACGTTTAGCTAGCTGGGAGGATTAATTTGTGGGTGGTTTAATTTGGTTGCTGAAGGCAGTGGAAGAATCTTTGAAGAGTGTCAAGCTATTTGATGGTGGGATTGCTGACAAACAAGCAGGGAAATACAGTGGAGGCATGAAGAGAAGGCTCAGCGTCGCAATTTCGTTGATAGGGGACCCCAAAGTAGGTCTTGGTGCTCCATCTGTTGAAGCTACTTTGATTTTTTATTTTGGATATGTTATCTCAAGATCATGCAACTTATTGCACTCATTCTTTTGCAAATTCCTGTACTTGAAGGTTGTTTACATGGACGAGCCTAGTACTGGACTTGATCCATCTTCGAGAAACCATCTATGGAATGTTATAAAGACTGCAAAACAAGACCGGGCAATCATCCTAACCAGTTCTCTCCCTCCCCCTCTCTCTCACACAATCTATTTGTTACCTTATTAATTCTCTATATATGTTTAGCTCTTTCATTTCACTTACAAAGCCGATATATATCTTCAGCACATTCCATGGAAGAGGCAGAGGTCCTGTGTGATCGATTAGGAATTTTCGTAGATGGCAGGATGCAGTGTATAGGAAACCCGAAGGAGGTAACCAAATCCCAACTCTTCTATTCTCCTATCAATGAGATTCTTGGATTGGATGTTTGGATTAATTACTGTTTGAGAATTGAAAATATGTTGGTTTGAGAATTGAAAATATGTGATGATTCAGCTGAAGGGGAGACATGGAGGGTTGTATGTCTTTACGATGACAACAAGTTGGGAACATGAGGAAGAAGTGGAGAGGATAGTACAGAAGTTGTCACCCAACGCGAACAAGACATACCGACTGTCGGGGACACAGAAGTTTGAACTGCCCAAAAATGAGGTCAGAATTGCAGATGTATTCCAAGCAGTGGAGTTTGCAAAGAGTAGATTCCCAGTGTTTGCATGGGGTGTGGTTGACACTACTTTGGAGGATGTCTTCATTAAGGTTGCTGCAGCTGCAGCTGAATCTTCATCATATGATATATGAAACCCCAACGTAGTACTAGATTTTAACATGATTAACTGTTGAATATTGTTAGAAGATGAGTTTAATATGCCTGCCATTCATTCATTTGGTTATTCTGTTATACTTTTGTTCTGCTTAACAGTCTATATATATAATTCAAAAGAAATGAATATAAATTTTGAAATGCATGCACATGTTGCTTGCGAATGCCAACAATCTCGTGTTACACCTCGAAGCACAATCAGATTCTAGTCAGAATTGTCAAATTAAACCATTGGATTCTCCTCGTATTGACCTAAACCCTAAGCTAATTCAGTCCACTACTGCCAGAGTTTGATAGTGTTCGGGAGAGATGGCTGCTTCCATACATGGTATGGGCTAACTTCGCCGTCATTATCCAAGAACAGCTTTAGCAAATCCGCCGAGAAGCTACCGAAGAGGGCGAGCCCTGGTCGTCTACGAGGCACTGCCAGCGTGTCCAACTTCCAATACACAATCTCCGGCACCGCATTCTCCTCGTACCCCTTCTCCTTAAACTTGCTCTGTATTGCTTTATAATCACTCTCCCAGCAGCTCTTCTTGTTATCATTCCCCGAATTAGCCACCTCAAAGCATGTGTTGGTGAACACAAACACCTTCTTCACCATCTGCTCTGCCTTTAAATTCCCCTTCACAGCCGCTTCCAGAATCAAATCAAACACCTTGTGCAAATCAATTTTGCTGCCGCCGCACTCCATCCTTCTCACAAACTCGCACTTGGACTTGAGATCATCCCCTCCTACCAAATGCAGCTCAGGGTTTGGACTGTAGCTGATCACCTTCCCTTTCCAGCATGGCTCTTCACTCAGTTGAGACAACAGCAGGCCCAAACCCACGGACACATTCATGTAGTTTTGGATCCCCGCCATGGAAGACGAAGACACGTCGCATACAGCCAAGCAGTTGTTCAGCTTGCCCTGTTTTTTAAACCACATCACCATGGCCTTCCACTGAAGCTCAGCCACTTGCCCCACATCCACATCATCCGCATATCCTACGATGTCATTTGGAAGCAGAGCACCCGCCGCAATGTTGCACTTGCCACCTCCGTTGCCTCCTTTGACGTCCTCCAAATACTTCTTAACCGCACAGGGCTTTGTTCCTGAATCATCAAAATAATCCAAGGCATTGATCAAGGGCACCAGTACCTCCTTCCTGAGCCGGTCTCGGACTCTGTAGGCGTAACGGGCCTCCGAAACAACTCGATATTCTGGGGACGATTCTCGCGGGAAAATCTTTCTCGCAACGCTTTCACACAGCAATGTGGCACGCTCCATGGAGGAGTCGATGGAAGGGCAGAAATAGGACGTCGAGCTTATCTCGTGAAATGTCCTGCTTCTTCAGTTTTTCAGTATCAGACTTCAACTTCTCCGCGAAAAGATCCGATACGCGTTCGTGTAAAAATTGGTAATTTGGGTCGCCCTCGTACCGCTCAACAACCTTCTTCTTGGCGATGGCGATATCAATGACCTTCTCTCTCCTCCTCCTCCTACTACTACTAATACTATTATTATTATGATAGCCACCAGCAGCAGCCTTTTCCTTTTTCCTCCTCCTTCTGACGTCCTGGCCTTGTAGAAGGCGGTACAGAATCTCGACAAGGTCGTGCATAAGGGCGACAGACTGGGAAAACTCGCCGGCTATAGAGGCGACGTTGCAAGCTAGAGTCTTGGGGTGGCTCTGGTGGAGCCAAAATGCTGCGGCGTAGAAGGCTTCTTCATCGGATTTTCCAAGATCATTGGAGCAGTCTCGGAGGTTGCAGATGAGCTTGAGGGTGGTCAGGGGATTGTGGGACCAGGCTAGAGGGAGGAGTTGCTTGAGATATTTATAGGAACTGGAGGCCGGGGGCTTGTCGCTGTCGTCTTCTGCTTCTACGTTTGGTACGAGTACGTGGAAGAAAAGATCAAGGCAGGGGTTGCCGTAGGAGGAGAGAATCGGGAAGTGGAGGGTGGGTGTTATATCATTATTGTTGAAATGGGCAACCATGAAAACAGAGTCTTCTTCTTTACTGGGAGTATACAGAGTTTGGGGTTTGGGGTCTGCAGGGGTGGGTTGTTTGGGCTCTGGAGGAGGAATGTTGTTATAGTAAGGAGCCAATTTTTCATTTGTGAGTTGTGAAATACGTTTGACGACAGGGGTTTTTGCTATTTTCACTGCAGGTTTCATCATACTCGTAACCATTTTCAAGTTCAATGAAGGGATAAATCTCTCTCTCTCTCTCTCTCTCTCTCTCTCTCTCAAGTTCAATGGCCAAAATAAACAAACAGACAATTGGGGCGAAGAGATGCTTTGTTTGGGCAACAAGCAAGGACTTTATTATTACTTACTGAGATCCAAACTTTAAGATCAAAGCCAAGAATAAAATTGTCCTTTGTTTAAGAGTGGTGATTTCCCCACTCTTTTTTCTCCTATTTTATCTACTTACACTCCTTTTTTATAACTAAAAAACAATAAAATTGTCATTTGTTTAAGAGTGGTGATTTCCCCACTCCTTTTTCTCCTATTTTATCCACTTACACTCCTTTTTTATAACTAAAAAAGGAGTGTAAGTGGATAAAATAGGAGTGGGGAAATCATTGCCCTTGTTTAATCATCATATCAATAAGTTTCCTTTTTGGGTCTGAGCGAGTTCCCAAAAAGCAGTACAGACATCGAAACAAAATGTATATGGGTCTAATCTCATGTAATAGATGCTGCTATTACTTGGGCACCAAGGAGAGGACGTACGCCTCTTCTTTCTCCATTGTTAGGTTTTGCTTGGAGGGCTGAAGCCTAAACAGAAACTACACTAACGCAAATTACAGGGCCCTAAAGAAAAGAAAATAAATGAATAATAACTTACCTACTACAAATTACTGGGCCCAAACAGAATACGCATGTTTAACTTACCTACTTTCACCAGGGGAACCATAAACTGGTGGTTACTATTGTAGTCTGTATACAAAACAAATTACCGATTTTGCTGTACGCTACATTTTTGTACATTCTTTCTCATCTCCACGAGAAGAGAGATGCTAGCTAGCTTTAGATTACCTAGAAATAATTGTGCTTATGACAACAAGAGTGTATGATCTGATGTACGAAGTTGCTGTGAAAGTCAGTATCAGTAGTATTTGACACATCATAATCGCATCCAAAAACTAATCGCCACATATGTGTATTGCCGCTGCTCCACTTAGGGCAGAAGCAATAAAGTCTAGTTTCTAATCAACTCTAGCTGCCTGATACAGATTGCTTGAAGCCGATCATAATAAGCACATAATATCCTCTCTTCAAGGATTGAAGACTCATCGTAATAAAGCATATAATCATAGAAGTTGTTCAACACACTTGCCAAAAATGTTCCAGCATAAAGTACCACATATATTTGTATAGGCATGACCTAAACATCTACACATCCGTTACTCGGTTCTTGTTATGTCCTCAAAGGAAAGGTAATGCATCATACATTTTGAATTTGAGGCGCCAAATCCTAAATAGCTCAACTAAGGAAAGAAGGGAAAAGAAAGACCAAACTCCTTTCATAACGCACAAATGCGTTGAAACCCCAGTTTCTGCTTCTACGTTTGGTACGAGTACGTGGAAGAAAAGATCAAGGCAGGGGTTGCCGTAGGAGGAGAGAATCGGGAAGTGGAGGGTGGGTGTTATATCATTATTGTTGAAATGGGCAACCATGAAAACAGAGTCTTCTTCTTTACTGGGAGTATACAGAGTTTGGGGTTTGGGGTCTGCAGGGGTGGGTTGTTTGGGCTCTGGAGGAGGAATGTTGTTATAGTAAGGAGCCAATTTTTCATTTGTGAGTTGTGAAATACGTTTGACGACAGGGGTTTTTGCTATTTTCACTGCAGGTTTCATCATACTCGTAACCATTTTCAAGTTCAATGAAGGGATAAATCTCTCTCTCTCTCTCTCTCTCTCTCTCTCTCTCAAGTTCAATGGCCAAAATAAACAAACAGACAATTGGGGCGAAGAGATGCTTTGTTTGGGCAACAAGCAAGGACTTTATTATTACTTACTGAGATCCAAACTTTAAGATCAAAGCCAAGAATAAAATTGTCCTTTGTTTAAGAGTGGTGATTTCCCCACTCTTTTTTCTCCTATTTTATCTACTTACACTCCTTTTTTATAACTAAAAAACAATAAAATTGTCATTTGTTTAAGAGTGGTGATTTCCCCACTCCTTTTTCTCCTATTTTATCCACTTACACTCCTTTTTTATAACTAAAAAAGGAGTGTAAGTGGATAAAATAGGAGTGGGGAAATCATTGCCCTTGTTTAATCATCATATCAATAAGTTTCCTTTTTGGGTCTGAGCGAGTTCCCAAAAAGCAGTACAGACATCGAAACAAAATGTATATGGGTCTAATCTCATGTAATAGATGCTGCTATTACTTGGGCACCAAGGAGAGGACGTACGCCTCTTCTTTCTCCATTGTTAGGTTTTGCTTGGAGGGCTGAAGCCTAAACAGAAACTACACTAACGCAAATTACAGGGCCCTAAAGAAAAGAAAATAAATGAATAATAACTTACCTACTACAAATTACTGGGCCCAAACAGAATACGCATGTTTAACTTACCTACTTTCACCAGGGGAACCATAAACTGGTGGTTACTATTGTAGTCTGTATACAAAACAAATTACCGATTTTGCTGTACGCTACATTTTTGTACATTCTTTCTCATCTCCACGAGAAGAGAGATGCTAGCTAGCTTTAGATTACCTAGAAATAATTGTGCTTATGACAACAAGAGTGTATGATCTGATGTACGAAGTTGCTGTGAAAGTCAGTATCAGTAGTATTTGACACATCATAATCGCATCCAAAAACTAATCGCCACATATGTGTATTGCCGCTGCTCCACTTAGGGCAGAAGCAATAAAGTCTAGTTTCTAATCAACTCTAGCTGCCTGATACAGATTGCTTGAAGCCGATCATAATAAGCACATAATATCCTCTCTTCAAGGATTGAAGACTCATCGTAATAAAGCATATAATCATAGAAGTTGTTCAACACACTTGCCAAAAATGTTCCAGCATAAAGTACCACATATATTTGTAT